TAGTCACTCTTGTCTTGTGTTGACAAAAATACGCAAAAATACGGAAAAAATTTTATTTGAAATTTTAAAATGAGAAAATTGATTGGAATGAACAGTTGAATACGCTTTTCGACGCTTTTTGATTTAAAAAAACACGGCTTTGTGAGATTCCGAACAATGAATATTCGTTTGTTTTCATTTGTTTTATTTTTTTATATTTCAAAAAAATTCAATGGAATAAAACGAGTTTTATGTGTTGCTTGCATAGTTTGACGAAATTGTTCTATAAATAAAATCAAATAGTAGTTCAAAATTGTTCAACATCCAACGGATGTGTATATACATGGTAAACAAGATTTCAAACTTGGGCGAATTCGAGAGTGTGATTGTCAAATATTTCACTTGCTAGGACCAGGGGTCGCGTCGGTATTTTTTTTATATGGGAGCATACGGAGTTAACATAGCGTCGGAAAAAACGATATCTAATAACGCATTATTTTGAAATAATTCACTATTTTCACTATTTTTCCATACTTTACGGTATGGGTTAATTTTAAAGCTGTCAACGGACAAGAAGTTGTAATGAAAATTTTCGACGGACAAATTTTGTCCGTCCGAAACTTCGGACGGACGGACAATGTCCGAATTATTTTATTTCGGACAAACGGACAACGGACACGGACAGGTTTTGTACGAAACATTTCGGACACGCTTTTTTGTCCGAACATTCGGACAGTCCGAATGTTCGGACACGTTTTCGGACGGACGGACAATTTTTTGTCCGAAATTTGTCCGAAAATTTCAATGAAACAAAAACACGTTTTTCCCGTCCGTTCGCCAAAAATTTCAATGCGCCAAATACACTGTACAGATTGTTTCTAAAATTGTCATGCGTGCCCGCCACGACTGCAAGTAGCGAACGTACATTCAGCACTGGTGGAAACATTGTTACTGATAAAAGAAGTACTATTTTACCAGAAAATGTTGAAAATTTAATCGTTGCTAGAAATTCTTTGTGATTTATCGTTATGATTTCGAAAAAAGTGATTTTTTTTAGTATTAAAAGTAAATTTCAAATTCAAAACTGTACAAGGACTTGATACATTAGACGTAAAACTTTTCTTCAATATATCACATTCCGATAAATTGAATGATGACTTTTGCAGTCATTAAGGCCGTCACTACAATGTTAACGCTTCAATGAGTCTTTCATTTTTTACACGTTTAAGTAAGGCTTTATTGAACCGTTTACATTTCGGCTAACTATTCATTTCCATGTATTGGTTAAGTTATTTTGTGTCAAAACGTTTAGACTAAATTTTTATGCTCATATGACAACTATAAGTACAAATTATATACTAACATTGTACAAAATCCACTTCAGCCAGTGATTGGCGGTGTTAAATATGAATAAAAATGAAAAGTTACTGTAGTATTTGAGAATCGAAACATTTCTATGATCTTTTAATATTCAACACAACATTTACACAAGAACAAATAGTTTGATTAATTTTCTTATTAGTTTTGAGAATTTTTCTTCATACAATTTTCATTAAGAAGTATCAGAAGAAAGTACTTATCAAGATACGAACATCCGTCGGAAAATTATTAGCGTTAAATACGCGAACCATTTGTTGAAAAATTAAAATTTTTGGCGAACGGACGGGAAAAACGTGTTTTTAGTTTCATTGAAATTTTCGGACAAATTTCGGACAAAAAATTGTCCGTCCGTCCGAAAACGTGTCCGAACATTCGGACTGTCCGAATGTTCGGACAAAAAAGCGTGTCCGAAATGTTTCGTACAAAACCTGTCCGTGTCCGTTGTCCGTTTGTCCGAGATAAAAATTTTCGGACATTGTCCGTCCGTCCGAACTTTCGGACAAATTTTGTCCGTCGAAAATTTTCATTTTTTCCGGACGGACAGCAAAAAACCACTTTTTCACTTTTTTGTCCGTGTCCGTTGACAGCTTTAGTTAATTTTAAACCCTTAGTCAAACATTTTCACCGTTTTTGGTTTGGAGGATTTAGTGGGCCTCAATATCTTTCCAATTTGCCAAAAATCATGCATTTATGTCTAAAAATGGGTTCACAATGGCTTTTGGCGTAGAAGCACGGCGGCGCGGCCAAAAATGCGCCGGCGGCCAAATCTTTGATATAGAGGCCGAATTCGGAAAAGTGTCCAAACACATTTTTACTCCTCATGAGCCAAGGAATCTGTGGTAGAGAGATTTGTACGTCGTTATGAATCACCCTGTATATTAAAATATGCTATTGAATTCATTCATATTTCCGTAGGAAAGACATGAAAATGATGAAATTTATAGTCGTACTCAAACTTTTGCAAGGCACTGTCACTTTTTAATTAAATAATCTTATTACAATACAATTTCAACACCTATGGTAACCGAAACGAGTACCATAATATTGATATCAGGAACAATAGGGTAGCACAATTTTTTTCCCTCGTTTAAATTGTTTTGCATATTTCCGCAAGATAGTCTCTCCCATTATGCTCATGAGTTCATCATTTCAATGTGATTGTGCTCGTTGTAACATTTTCCCAAGCACTTGTAAAACTTTTCTCCCATAGTTAACAATTAATGTATTTTATTACCTCATTTCATTTTTCTTTGTTTCCATTACAGA